CTTGGTTAAGGTTAAGGAAAACTGGTGTCCATGGTTACAAACAAAACAAAACCAATGTTGACTGTTGATTGGACATGGGACACAAACTGTGGTTTCTGGTCTCACAGTCAAATGTTTTGTATGAACCACCTCCACCATTCCCTACAATGTTTTCTAGCCCTATAACAACATCACACTACATACATAATACAATACAACCATCATACATTTGCATGATTAGAAAGAGGTTGCATATTGGGAAAATGTAAGCGTACGTACTGTGTGCTGTCATTTTTCTGATGAGCACTGTCTGTTGTTGAGAGAAAACTTATTGGTTTTTCTCCATTTTTGTCTCATCCCTCGTTTCTCTATGTTGAGGGTGGGGTTTGTCTAGTTTATAAACTTCAATCTCCCATAATTGAAATCTAACCCTTACTGAAACCTTAAACCTTAAAATACAGACCATCAAAGGCTTTTACTGTGAAGGATTTTCCTTGGCTCTCTATCCTTTCTTGATCCTATAAAACATAGATACATCACAACAGACACACAGAGACTATGAACACATAACTTCCATTACAATAACACTCCATTAGCGCTCATGTTAGCTTTGAGTCATCCGTCCCTGTGTCAGACTGCAGGACACTGCTCATCCTTTTCACCAGCCTCAGTTCTGATCTCTGAATCAGCATTTAACTGTGAGACAGGCTCTGGCTCGGGAATAATGGTGTCTACATGCCTCTGTGAGCCAGCCTGTGATTACTGGTAGGAAGAAAAAAACATTTCCATGAGGAGGAAAGATTATTACTGTTTAAGGAAACTAGTTTCCTTCCCTGTATTTAGATAATAACTGACCATGTGTGTGGCTACATCAAATCATCCACTCTGGAGGTTTATTGCACTTGGCAAATCAACTCATTCGGATTTTAATTCAGATTAATGAAACCAATGTAGGCTGCAAGGATGCAGAGTCCAGTTTTACTGTAATGTAGTGCAAACACACCACGGGTACAAATAGCACAGAAGGGGATCTCTGTGAGCTCTTGGAAGTCTCAAAGACACCTCCTCGCTCCCTGCCTACTGCACTTTTAAGCCCTTTGCAACTGGGACGTTAAGCCTTGAATTGAGGACTTGACTCCAACCGAGGACTTTTTTCCCCCTCCAGATATTTTCAGTGTGAGGTCTGTATTTGTAAGGAAACCACAGAACATGTATTAATTGATTGTAAAACATTCTAAACAAAGAAAACTGCTTTATTTGGGTATTTACAATAAGCAGCTGTGAAAAACTGAATATCAGTTGATTTTTAATCACACGCACACACGCCAAGGGGACCAATGGCAGTTGTTATGGTCTGCGGCGTTACCATGTGCAGTTACATTTGTGGGGAGGGGCACATCTGGCTACAGCGTAGATTCAATTACAGGTACAAGGAATTCGTTTTTTGTTATATGTACTGTTAATCTTACTATTTCCAAGGGGATAATGTGTTGATTAATGGAATATTCTATTATATATTTGACCTTGTTCAGTTATATGCACTGTACAGCAAGAAGGTCCTGGGTTTGAATTATGATTTAGCACACACCAACATCAGGTTGGGAGTGGAGAGAGGGCAAAGGTGAGGGCCGTAGCTGTAGCACTGGTTGCTTTATACAGGAAGTAAGCCCAGGTTTTGGTCTCTGTAAACACACGATTGTACCAAATCTGGCAACCTTACTATGATATCAGGACTTTGGGACCTCCTGGTGAAAAAATAGTTCTTCCCCTAAAACCACATATTGTTGTTTTAACATTTCTGGCATCTACTTCATGTTTTCATCATTTTACAAGAGTGTCGACCAACATGCCATTTCCCCAAATATTCTATGGATTCCCTTAACCCAAGTCTGAAACCTAAAGTAAACTAGTGAAGAAGTGAAAATGTCCTCGCCAAAATATGCCAAAAATGTCTTCACTCTGAAGGTCTACAATTCAAACTGCTTCTCACAAGGGCTACACACACACACAAACACACTCACAGCAACAGCTCTGTCTTGACCACTGACCCCAAGCACCCTGCTAAAGTTTACTCTAGCTGCAGTAACACCCCCCTGTGCACACAGAAATATATCAATGGGACTTCACATGAGTGAGAACGTGTGGAAAAATCCGCCACGGAATATTAACCTATGGCGAGTCAGCGTGCTCCTAGTCTATTCTTAGCTGTCCAACAAAACCACAAAAAGCCCTCCCGTATACACTTAAAAGGTGTGCGGTGATAAATGGCCAATAGAGAAAACGAGATGAATAGAGAGAATGTGAGAAAATAGGGGAAGTAAGCTAGAGACAGCAAAGGACAGAAGAGGCAGAGCAGAGGGAATAACAGTGGAGGTGTGAGGAGACAGGCCAGGGTGAGTCGCAGAAGAAAGGTAGGCAGTAAGTGATAGATAGTGAGGAGGACAGTGATGGGAGAACAGAAGAGGAGCAGACTATCCAATCCGTCACTGTGATAGCATCACCTCTAGCAGTGTCCTCCTGTCTTCCCTCCAGCTGCTGCACCACACTGCTGATAGACCGGGCTCACACACAACACGCGCACAATATATATATATACAGGCTTCCAAAATGTCAATTTAGGGAAAAAGTGTTTTTTCATCACGTAGCCCATAAACTACACAGTGTGCAGACTTTTCATCTTTGCCGACCCTTTATAGAGCATTACGTTGGAGAATTGATTTCCTACCTTCAAGGCGCCCATTGGTTTCAGTTCACTTGCTCGAGATAGATAATCCATCACATAGAACATTAGGTCGCCTTGCTTTTTGTCAGAATTACATTATCAATGCAAGCAGGGACTGTTTTGAAAACTCTCATCATTGATGCGTTCAAGGACACTTGGAGGTTTATACCAAAGAGCACTGTTTTTTACAGGTCCAGTGTGTAGATTTCAGTGGCATCTAGCAGTGAAGTTGTAACCATTTGAATACAACTTCCCCCTTCCAAGCGTGTAGGAGAAACTATGGTGTTGTTATTTCTGGACTACTGTAGAAACATGGATGCTTAACATGGTGGACTCTGCTGGAGGACCTGCTCCCTCTGTAGATAAAAACAGCTC